GGGACGTGAAGAGCGAGACCGCGTGGGTGTGTGGTTCGCTTGTTAGCGGAGGAGCCTCCCGAATGCCCTTCAGTTCACACACACACACACACACACACACACACACACACTCACATACTGTCACACACTGTCTCGCATACACACACAGTCGCAGTTACACAATTGCACTTGCACGGTGGCACATACGCAGTCACGCACACCATTACACACACACACACACACAGAGGCCGAGATGCAACTGGATTCTAAGGCTTTAACACAACACGCAGCGCGCAACTGCACGCTTCAGCTCCACACACAGTGGTCTGAGAGACCAGGAAATCATTTAAGAGCTGAGGTCCACGTGGTGGCCACGCCTGTTCCCTCAGCGCTCAGCCCAAAAGCTGGGTCCAGGGAGCATCTCCCGCTCCTCCCTGCTGATTTGTCTACTAAACCGAAGGCACGTTGTTGGAACGCCTTTTAGTACAAAATGGCACAGTCTACACACACACACACACACACACACACACACACACACACGCACTATTAAAAGGGCAAAATGGCCGCATGCCCCAGTATGAGTCAGACAAGTGAAGTTCTGAAATTGATTAAAGACAACCATTCCACATTAGACAAGAGATTTGCTCTCCTTTTAGTTAACGTTTATTGAGTGCCTACTAATGACGGCAGCTGTGCTTGGCGTTCCGCGTAGATGACTGAGGAGCGCTGACGCCCACGCTGGCCTTCTTGGCTTCAAGCTGCAGAGCTGCTGAATACACAAGCCCAGTGCTACAAAATACATTGCCAAAGCAATCAGACTAACATTGTCACCTAATCGCACTGGTTCTGGGGAGATACAGCAGCTGACATTCAATCACACGAATCTGGACAATATAATTGATAAGACGAGTTAATTAAAGGATATATAGAGTTTTCTACAGAGACTACTTGGTCATCTTAGATGTTCATGACACAATTACAAAAATGTGATACATTCTAGGCTACAGTAAAAGCTTTTTAAAGTATTTTTATAGCAAATTCTTATAGGCCACATTCTCTATTCACAGTGCAGTGAAACAAGAACACAAGACTAGGGGTTAGCACGTGGCTCAGTGGCACAGAGCCTACCTGGCAAGTGCAAGGTTGTGAGTTCAACTCCCAGGACCAAAAAAATACACAAGATGACTTTTTAACAAAATAATGAACAAAATTATTGAGCTTTGAAGCACTCTCTAAGAACATTACAAAAACAAAAACACACACACAGGAATGCAAATTGCTGACCTTTAAGATTTGGCCAGGGCTATGTTCAGAAACACATTTGTGCTGAGTATGTCATTATTGCAAGTATAAAGGCTATATAAACACTCGACTTAAAAACTGAGACAAATAATAAAAACCATAAAAATAAACAACACATATTAAAGAAAACTATTGCAAGTAAGAGAAGTAATGGATATTAATAGATCCTAGTATGTGTTCTTCAGCAAAACGATAATACTGTATAATCCTTTGAGAAATCAAGTAATGTCCAGGCCACACAGAAAAGTTGAGAGTGGAGACAAAACAGGATGGGAGAAGGGGTTTAATAGGTAGTAACTTGAAAAACTCTGTGGAACTAAGAATTCTCTAGTGGAAAAAGAATGTGAGTCATCAAAATGAATCTGAGGGTTAAAGGCGTTAACAAGCTGATGGCTCGGCGAGCTGGGAAAGCGGCCTGAGGATTGGCTGACGCTCCCTTCCAGGACGCCATGTTTTGTTGGTGGGTTCTTTTTAAATGGTGAGGGACTGACTATGTTGAAGCCACATACATGATTCGGAAACACAGGGAGAGGTGTCACTCAGGTGTCCCTATACGCCAGGAGGCAGGCTTATCCACGGTACCAAAACTTCTCAAAAAGTAGCACCCATCTCACATATGAAGACAGAGACAAGAATCTTACATAAAATATTAAGAAAAAATAATTCAGTATATGAAAAGGCAGCGCACCACAATCCTTAGGATGAAAAAAAATGGTTTGATAGCAAATCCATTAGATTTTTCTGATTCTCAACTGCACAGATTTTTACTTCTCTGAAGTTAGGAGGTGGTGATTTACAATTAATTAACATTTTTCTTTCTCAGTGTATATAAAATAATACATGTTCTACAGTCAGTGGTGTCTTAATCCTAATGAAATACAGTAATGTAAAACTTCATACTAAAAAGTTTTTTTAAAAAATCATCTCTGTGGATGTTTGAAAGGCATTTGATAACATTCAAAACCCATCACTGATTTTTAACTAGGAGGCTTCCTTCCCACGGCAGGGCACCTATTGGATAACAGCAGCTACAAGGATAATTAAATGTGAAACATCATAGGCATCCCCGTTAAAACCAGGAACAAAAACAGCACGCACACTATCAACACTATGGTCGTTTGCTGTGGGGCTTTGGACCACTCCACCAAGCCCTGAAATAGAAAAGAGAACAGTGTAAATATCGGAAACAAAGGGAACACCATAATTACTTGCAGGAAGCTAGGATACGACTGGAAAATTCAAAACTGTGGCACAGTAACTGCACAGTAAGGGGAGTACACAAGAGTAAGAAACATCGACTCAGTGAGAGAAACATCCAGGAAAAAAATGGAATGAATATCTCACTGGTGTATAAAGTGCTGCGTTTTTAAACAACCTTTATACCCAAACTCCCCCTCAAAAACGTGCGTGTGTGTCATCTTGACTCCCCAGCCACGCATCCCACTGTCCATTCGCCACCTCCTTCGGACGTCTGATGGGCGCCTGGAAGCTGACATGCCCCGCACTCCCCTAACGTCGCCCCACCCTCAAGGCAAGGTCCTCATATCCTCCCACCATTGACCTCAGGCCTCTCCGGGCCTCGCGTGACATCCCCGACGCCCCTCCGACCCCATCTCCCAGCACATCCAAGTCATCCGAGTGATGGCGGAGGCCGCTGGCTTGACCTTCGATGCATCCGGAAGCCAACGCTTCCGTCCCCTCCACTCGCCCTGGCCTGGTCGGAGCGCCCTCCTCCCCCGCCCCCTGGCCACGATCTTGGGCTTCTCGTCTCCACATCCCACCCACTATCTGCTCCCTGGATCTCCAGCCAGTGTTTCTCCCGGAGGGGGAGTGAAGATGTAGTAACATGGAGAGCTGCCCAGGGTGTTTCGCGAAGACACCGGAGGGCAGAGTGGTCATTTTGTGCTCATCTCCTTTCTCTGGTGTGTACCAGAGGAAATCTAACAAAAACCCAAGCTAATCCATGTGAGCAGAAGTCGCGGGCTGTGGTTGGCTCGGGGGTGGGTGGTGGGTGGGAGGAGGCAGCCTGGAAAGGAGGAGGAGGAGGAGGTGCCCTAGGAGGACGAGGACTCTTGGCGTCTTAAGTGTTGGTTCCGGGGTGATGTGCGCGTTAAGCCTCTCTGATCTCTATGCTTTCCTAGAAATGACTACTATAATTTCAGGATACAAAATATAAAATTAAGAAAGTGTGATAAATACAAGTCATCTAAAATGTAAAAATTTTATATTCGTGTTACGGTTTATATCTAGATGTCCCCTGAGGGCCTCGCGCATACATAGGCGGGGCTTTTGGAAGAAGACTGGATCATGGGGTGAAGGCAAAATCTACAGTTAGGAGGCGGGGCCAAGGCAGGTCCTGCTGGGGTAGCCGCCATCCGTGGCTCCTCCCACATCCCTAGTTCCTCCGCCATCTCTGGCTCTGCTCCATGCCCAGCTCCTCTAAGTTCCTGGCTCCTCCCCATCTTTGGCTCCTCCCACATCCCTAGTCCCTCTCCCATCTCTGGCTCCTCCCCATCCCTGACTCCTTTGCCATCTCTGGCTCCTCCTCATCCCTGGTTCCACCCCATCTCTGGCTCCTCCCCATCCTTGGCTCTACCCTATCCCTGACTCCTCCCTCATCTCTGGCTCCTCCCCATCCCTGACTCCTCCCTATCTCTGGCCCCACTCCATCCCTGGCTCCTCCCCATCCCTGGCTCCTCCTCATCTTTGGCTCCTCCCACATCCCTAGTCCCTCTCTCATCTCTGGCTCCACCCCATC